TCTTAATTAGTTTATTATAAATTAAAATTTAGTTAAGTCAAAGTCTTTACTCGATTATTTATTAGTTCAAGTGTAAAGATATCTTTTTTCCTTTGTTTATTTAACTAATTAGGAATATTGATTTTCTATGTTAATTAGTAAAAATAAAAACATTATATCATGAAAAACATTATAAATTTAGTAGATTATTGAATAATAGTGGATAAGATATTGATGACATTAATATTTATATTGATGACATTATAAATAAATAAATATTAATGTTATTTAACTTTAAATAATTCTATAGCATTATTTCTAACTTTTAAGATGGGGTTAACTATTTTTTCTTTTTTAAATTTTTGGCTAATTAAAAATTTATAAGGTCAAATATTTAAGGGTATTTTTGTTTTTTTAATAAAATATTAACAGAAATCATAACAACATCTAATAAAGGGTGGGAAAGTGTTATTTTGAAACTTGAAGGGTGGGAAAAAGTTGTTTCGCCAAACCTTGGGTGGGAAAATGTCGTTGTCCCTTCACTGAGTGTATTAATGCAGTGGGCAAAGTTGCAGGCCTACAAGCAACAACTGGTACGAAGAATTTAGGGGAATGTGTCACATATGTAATAAGTAAGGACGCCATAAACGGCCCCTCCATAATTAATGGAATGTCTTCATGAATCGTGAAATTAGAATTATAAGACAACTAATTAATAAGTAATTATTCATTAAAAGATAAAACTTTTTATTTCCTCTCTGGTAGCCCTTAGAAGTTACCGAAGCATTTAAAGTTTGTGTTTAGTTTGGAATAACCCATGTGAGGTTGGTTAATTTAGGCCAAGATCTTGAGTTTCCATATTGTTGTTACAGAAATCTGTACCAATTAGCGAAATCCAAACGACATTGTCGAGATCAAAACTGATGTGTGCGTGATTAAAAATAATTAGCAATATATGTAAAAAGAATGCAATAAAGTAAAGACAATAAGAGTTTTAAAGTGGTTCGACGAGGTTAACTTTGAAACCTACGTCTACTGTTTTTTGCATTTGTTGTGAGAGTTTACAATATAGTTTTTATATGAAATTTGTAACCCTTTTCCCTTCGTTTGAGGGGATTTATATACAAGATTTGTACAAAGAAAATAGAGAAACTAAAGGGATTACAATTGATCTGAATCGCAATTCCGATATTCTCGTGATTGAGCACTGTGATAGCGGTTGATCTAGTTATTCCCGTAATATCTGGGATCTGAAATAATCTGAAGTTTGATTGAATAATTCCTTGAACTGTCCGCAATTAATTTATGCTGGGTCGAGCTTCGGCTCGACGAGCTTATGCTGAGTCAATTAATCATTATTGTCGAGCTCATTTTGGGTCGAGCTATAACCTCGCATTAGCCCGAGCTTGGCGAAAAAGTCACACACAACACATGTTGTGCACATGGGAAGAGCAAATGGAGTACCAATCAACTGTATGCTCTGGTTCTGCTACTTGATTTAAAGGGTCAAAACTCTTCAAACCCTTTTTCATAATTTGTGTATAATTTCTTTCTTCTGCTTTGTGTCAAATTGTCACACATTGTGTTTACTTTTTGAAAGACGTGAGCAATGACGTTGAACATTTGGAGCAGGCAGGCAATTTCTTACTCCATCGTCAGTGCCTGGAAGTTGTAAAATCTTTTCTTTCGTTCATTGCTTTCCCTTGGCGAACTTGACGGGTTATTATTATCCAAACCCTAAGAGACTGTGAAATAAAAGATAGATTATTATTATTGAATTGAACCCCCTAAGAGACGTAAAATAGGACATGGATTTTTATTATTCAAAGTTCAAGCCTCCTAAAATACGGTGAAATAAATATCTAAAACTATAATATAATAATAAATTATTAATATTATCAGCATGCTGGAATAGCTCAGTTGGTTAGAGCGTGTGGCTGTTAACCACAAGGTCGTAGGTTCAAGCCCTCCTTCTAGCGCAGATCTGTTTTTGATGATTTGATCGCATACTCACAGGCCATAGGGTGATGCTTGTACAGAACTTCAACAATTTTGCTAGTATATACCTTACCTGTTATAGTTGTTTATACTTGAATGCTTTCGAAGATAATATTTCATTTGCAGAACCATGTTTTCTTTTTAAGTCCCAAAATAAGTTAAATTTAAATATATTTTATTTTTTTCCTAATCTTTTTAATATATCCTTTCTTAATCCTTTACGCTTCTCATTTACTTAATCATGATTAATAAACGACAAAATAAACAACATATTACAGATTTGTTTAAAAATAATTCCTTCTTGAATTTTTTTATTCTTTTATCTTTTTCGAAAATTAATGAAAATATACTTGTGATTTAGAAAAAGTTATGAAATACAAAACAAAAGTTGGAAAAAATATTTTCTAAGCAAAATCATGACAAGAAATATTATTTCCAATCTTCCTTTGATTTGCTTTTATGGAATTTTCATAACTATTTCTAAATCATGAGTTTTTTAAGAAATAAAATAAGTTAAAAAAAAAAAAAAANGGGAAGAGCAAATGGAGTACCAATCAACTGTGTGATCTGGTTCTGCTACTTGATTTAAAGGGTCAAAACCCTTCAAACCCTTTTTCATAATTTGTGTATAATTTCTTTCTTCTGCTTTGTGTCAAATTGTCACACATTGTGTTTACTTTTTGAAAGACGTGAGCAATGACGTTGAACATTTGGAGCAGGCAGGCAATTTCTTACTCCATTGTCAGTGCCTGGAAGTTGTTAAATCTTTTCTTTCGTTCATTGCTTTCCCTTGGCGAACTTGACGGGTTGTTATTATCCAAACCCTATGAGACTGTGAAATAAAAGATAGATTATTATTATTGAATTGAACCCCCTAAGAGACGCAAAATAGGAAATGGATTTTTATTATTCAAAGTTCAAACCTCTCTAAAACTATAATATAATAGTAAATTATTAATATGTAAGGGTTGTTAGCACGCTGGAATAGCCCAGTTGGTTAGAGCGTGTGGCTGTTAACCACAAGGTCGGAGGTTCAAGCCCTCCTTCTAGCGCAATTCTTTTTCTGATGATTTTATCACATATTTTCGCATACTCACGCAGGGTGATGCTTGTACAGAACTTCAACAATTTTGCTAGTTGTTTATTCTTGAATGCTTTCGAAGATAATATTTCATGTTTTCTTTTTAAGTCCCAAAATAAATTAAATTTAAATATATTTTATTTTTTTCCTAATCTTTTTAATATATCCTTTCTTAATCCTTTACGCTTCTCATTTACTTAATCATGAGTAATAAACGACAAAATAAACAATAGATTACAGATTTGTTTAAAAATAATTCCTTCTTGAATTTTTTTTCTTTTATCTTTTTCAAAATTTAATGAAAATATACTTGTGATTTAGAAAAAGTTATGAAATACAAAAAAAAAGTTGGAAAAAATATTTTCTAGGCAAAATCATGACAAGAAATATTATTTCCAATCTTCCTTTGATTTGCTTTTATGGAATTTTCATAACTATTTCTAAATCATGAGTTTTTTAAGATATAAAATAAGTTAAAAAAAAAAAACGAAATTAGAGAAGTCAAAAAAAGATTAGGAAAATGGTAATTTTCAAATAAATTAAAAATCATTTATTTTTTAATTGATTTTGGGGTTTAAAAAGAGTTTGGGTGGGGTTTAAATAAGGAGTGATGCTATGGGTACTAACGGATGGGTACTAATCTGTGTACTAACTAAAGCATAGTACCCATAATATGCGTATAGTATCCGTACTATGCTTTAGTTAGTACACAGATTAGTACCCATCCGTTAGTACCCAAAGTATTATTCTTAAATAAGACAACTCTTTCGCAAAACAAAGAAAGAGTAACACAAGACCAAATCCAAGCCCAGCACCTCTGTGCTCTATGTGAGCCTGCCTAGCACTTGCTTGGATATGGCTCAAGTCCACGTAAAACTCTGGTTTGGGGTTAGGGGTCCATAGCATTGATGACCAAAGTTTAAGAAAGAAATAAAAATCAATGAATAGAGTTAAAGAGTACGTATGAGAAAGTGACACAAGAGGCAAGAGCATGAGTTGATTCAAATCAAAGCTTAGGTGGCCAAATTTGTCTCACAAGAACACTATATCCTATCACCTTATATCCCTCCCACAGTCCCACTCACTTTGTGGCTACAAAATGCTACGTTTTGGATAGGGATTTCATGGCTGCTTTTCTTCTCTTTAAGGAAATGTTAAATAATTCAAGTATTTGCACCTTCAACTATTTTAAATGGTTCTTCTGTGAGAAATNTTAAATAAGACAACTCTTTCGCAAAACAAAGAAAGAGTCACAACAAGACCAAATCCAAGCCCAGCACCTCTGTGCTCTATGTGAGCCTGCCTAGCACTTGCTTGGATATGGCTCAAGTCCACGTAAAACTCTGGTTTGGGGTTAGGGGTCCATAGCATTGATGACCAAAGTTTAAGAAAGAAATAAAAATCAATGAATAGAGTTAAAGAGTACGTATGAGAAAGTGACACAAGAGGCAAGAGCATGAGTTGATTCAAATCAAAGCTTAGGTGGCCAAATTTGTCTCACAAGAACACTATATCCTATCACCTTATATCCCTCCCACAGTCCCACTCACTTTGTGGCTACAAAATGCTACGTTTTGGATAGGGATTTCATGGCTGCTTTTCTTCTCTCTAAGGAAATGTTAAATAATTCAAGTATTTGCACCTTCAACTATTTTAAATGGTTCTTCTGTGAGAAATTCCCCTGTTAGACAATTTTTTACTAATTTTATTTTGTTTAAAAGACAGAAATAATGATAAAATCATGTGAGCTAACTTAATTGCATTCAATGAAAAATAATAATATTAAGATTTGATTTTATATGAAGTCTCTAATATTTACTCTAGAAAAAGTTTTTAATTTAGATGAAAATGGTGGCTAAATTTGGCGGGACAAGGGGTAGTTAGTGAGGGAGGAGTGAGAAAGCACTTGACTTGAGATTAAGATGAAACGAACGACAGCCAAGTACATAGAGCAAACGACAAAACCAGAAATCTCTTCAACAACCACAAATATAACCATATAACATTTCATTTGTTACACAACAAGCAACTTAATTCAGCGTTTAGAGCATAGGAAGGCAACAACAAAATGGCAATGGCAATGGCGCTTCGCAGGCTTTCCTCTTCTTTCGACAAACCCATTCGTCCTCTTTTCAATGGCTCCACTCTCAATTACATGGTTTCTCTTTTTCTTTTTATTAAGTTACACTCTTTTTGGACTTAGAATTCGCTCATTTTCTTGTGATTCTCATTTTGTTTGTTATTTCAGTCATCTTTGCCAAATGAAGCTGTCTACGAGAAAGAGAAAAACGGCGTAACCGTAAGTTGATAATTTCTTTTTCTCTTTGTATAATTATTTAGCTTCATTAGTAGGCTGTTGTTCATGGTGTTTCTATTTTGTTATCTTTACAGTGGCCAAAACAACTGAATGCTCCACTGGAGGCTGTTGATCCTGAGATTGCTGACATCATCGAACTTGAAAAGGCCAGACAATGGAAGGTAATTTCAAGCACTTCTTGGCTTAGATTGTTGGTTTCTATGAGGTTACAATTGCTGTCTGTTTTAGCAGAGAATGAATTCAAGGCGTATATTTCAAATATTCATTTGTTTCATAAACTCTATCCTAGAGTGTTGTGTTTTTGCCTAGGGAGAATTTTTTTGCTACAACTGGAATACTGGATTAATACTTTTACAACATATAAATTTAAGTTTTGACGAATTTGTTTAATTATGTGGAATAATCTGAAGTATCTATTATATAGTATGCTTGATTTCATTCAACTTTTGTGGTTACTAAGTTTCTCCTAGTTTAAAGTTCTATAGCTTACCGGAATAATTTTGTATGTTTTTAAGGGACTTGAACTCATTCCGTCAGAAAACTTCACTTCAGTATCAGTTATGCAAGCTGTTGGTTCTGTAATGACCAACAAGTACAGTGAAGGATATCCTGGTGCACGATACTATGGAGGAAACGAGTATGTTGAGCAGTCTCCTTCTATTTCTTCTGCTAATTGTACTGATTTAACTGACTGACAAATTACATAGTTGAGTACTTCATATATTCTTGTTGAATTTCTTGTTTTAGTTGGTGCTGAAAATTATTGAGCTTTCAATTTTCAGGTTTATTGATATGGCAGAATCCTTATGTCAAAAACGAGCTTTGGAAGCATTTCGGTTGGATCCCGCAAAGTGGGGAGGTAAATTTATGTCATTTATGTATGGCAAGGATAATTGTGGCCAATATCTGTTCTTTTGTCATTATTAAAGTTGGATTCTGATTGATTTGCTGACAATGCCAACATGGGCATGGCCATATGAAAATCTCATTTTGTTGATATTTATTGGGACCAAACTTATGATCCATTTGCAAATATGAGTCAGCTATGAATCTATGAGTTTCAATCACTTTTGTATTTTTAAGAGTATGATTTGATGTCAAGAAGAGAGAGGTTACTTAATGGCATAATTAGGAAAAGATAAACTTTTATGAGATGAGTTTTGTAATATGTAATTTGTTATTGTGTTATTGTTTTCCCATATTTATTATGCCCTGTTATTACAGTGAATGTGCAGCCCCTCTCTGGGTCTCCCGCTAATTTTCAAGTCTACACTGCATTGTTAAAGCCTCATGAAAGAATCATGGCACTTGATCTTCCTCATGGTGGACATCTATCACATGGCTATCAGGTGTGTTCTACTCTTTCATTGTTCCTGATAATTGACGGAGTATTTTTACTTTGTACCTGCATCCACTTCGCATCTTTCACTTTCAAACAGTTGTAGGATAATTTGGCGTCCAATATTATGTATTTCTCTTTTTAGTAAAATTGAGGGCGTTACTATAATTCTTGGTACCAGAAGAAACAATAAAATTGGTGAACTCTTTGTCTCTAGCCTTGGTTGAAATTCAAATCTAACATCCAGAACACTGGCACTCTTTCTAACTGCAGAAAACAGTCTCTGTCACCTAACTATTAGAAATATTCTATCTTCCTCATTGTGATTCTATCACCTTCCTTAAGGAAAATAAGGAAAGTTTTCACATTGGTTTGAGTTTGCATACATTATAGCCCATAGGGTTTAATTTTGTAAGTGACTTGCGAGTTAATGTGTGACTGTTGTCAGATGCCATGCTCATGCAGTTAGGTCAGAGCTGTGATATTCCAAGATCCTTGAAGTGCCCGTCTTTCTTGTTTGCCATTCATTTATTCACTATTTACAGGTTATTTTCCTAAAAGAGATGTATAAGCTACATGAATTGTAGTATAATGACAAAATCAACCTAACTATTCTTTATTGGATCTCCTAATCACAGAGGAAATTTGTTGCTCTTTGGAATACTATCTGTTCATATTACAGGGACAAATGTTGCATTATATTTTTCTAATTCCCCCTTTTTTTATTTTACAGACGGATACCAAAAAGATATCTGCTGTTTCCATATTTTTTGAGACAATGCCATATAGATTGAATGAGAGCACTGGCTACATAGACTATGAACAGGTAGCAACAATTTCCTTATTGTGGTAGTTTCAAGTCCATATGCCTCTTTCCATTATGTTACATTGTCGCATATTGTTGATTTAATGGGTGAGAGTACACCTACTCCTCAGCAAACGGAAGTAGTGGTCAGAAATTGGCTCTCTATTGTTATTGGAAAGACGAAGATATGCTATGCAGAATAGAATTAATTCAGAAAAAATAGATTATATGTTGTGTGCACAAAATTTGGAGAATTGATGTTAAATTAGATTCCGTAGCCTGTCTTTACCTTGAGCAGTCATTCTTTATTGGCAATAACTTGAACGAAAATTTCAGCTTTTCATTTATGGTAAAAGATCCTGCTAAAATGATCTGTTTTATAGTCCACACAGAGATTTAAACATTTGTCATCCACCAAACGTATGGACTGCTATAGAAACTTCATGCCACTCTCAAAATTTTTCACTTTGTAATTTCAGAATTGAACATCTTCAAGCATACTTATTATCCATTCTGTCACCGGATTTGCTACCTTCTGGTGATTTGTCATGGACAAAAACCAGTATTTACGCTTGCATGTGATTAGATTTCATATAGTGCTTACATATATATGATTATATCTATGTCTTTCTACCTATGTGTCAGTATAAGGTTTTGAGACTTGAAAATCATTGAATTGTAGCTGGAGAAAAGCGCCACTCTCTTCAGGCCAAAATTAATTGTTGCTGGTGCTAGTGCTTATGCACGTCTGTATGACTATGCTCATATTCGCAAGGTAATCTCCATTAATTAATGTATAAAGTTCAGTCATCATAGTCCTGCATCAGATTCCTTGGTTTCCTTTTGTTTTGATAGTTTTTAAGGTCTGAGGATGAGGTTACATCTTTTTAGTGTTCAAACAGGTCTGTGACAAACAAAAAGCTATAATGTTGGCAGACATGGCACACATTAGTGGTTTAGTTGCAGCTGGTGTCATCCCATCACCTTTTGATTATGCTGATATAGTGACCACCACAACTCACAAGTCACTTCGTGGGCCACGTGGAGCCATGATTTTCTTTAGGAAGGGGGTGAAAGAGATCAACAAACAAGGGAAAGAGGTGAGTATCTCAAATCAAATATTAGTGTTTAGGAGTTTGTTGTCAATTCCTTGCCAATATTAGGTTGCTTCTTACTTCTTTTGTCATTTAAATGGACATTCTATTGCTCAAAAATGGAGGAAACATTAACCCTTCTGAGTTCTCACTGAAGGTATTGTATGATTATGAAGACAAAATCAATCAGGCAGTCTTTCCTGGACTCCAAGGTGGTCCCCACAACCACACAATTACTGGTTTAGCAGTGGCCTTGAAACAGGTGAATTATCTCTCAAACTTATAACAACTTCATAAGTTAAGAAAGATAAGGGAAGATTACCATTGAACAACTGAATGACAAGAAAGGATCTGCGTCAGTGACCCTACCTGTTGAGATTAGGTTTGTTGAATTCAAATGAACCCCTTGCCTAATAATTGACCCACACCCCACTTTCCACCTTGTAGTGTTGTAGCATGGTAGATACTAAAATGGTTTTTGAGCAAACCAAGAACTCTAGTATTTCTTATTCTATTAATCAGTGCACAAGTCAGTTTCCTTAGGTTACTAGTGCATGAAGTGCTTTTCAGCTTTTGTCCCATGTTATGGCTTCAACAAAATAAACAAATTCTTTTAATTATTAATTGACCAATATAATTGATAGTTTAAGAGACAGTACATATCAAGTAAGAATGAACTGAAATGGCCTATTCATAATTACATATTGGAGAGTATCCAACCATGTCCTTTTCAATCATGCTTTTCGCATTTCTTCTTCTTTTATTTGCTTTTTCAGCTTTTATTTATTTATTTTCTCGATACTTTTGGCCCAATGCCAAATTCCGCAGATCAGTGAGTGATTTTAAATTGAAAAGATTTTATTTTAATGTAAACCCACTGTTCATATATTTCTTTACTTGCATAAATGCAGGCCACTACTCCAGAGTACAAAGCCTATCAAGAGCAAGTTCTCAGTAATTGCTCTAAGTTCGCACAGGTATGCTACATTACGTGTGCCGAATTTATTACCAAAACAAGATCATATTAACACAGTTTTCCCTCATTCAAATATTTGAGAATTTTAAATAAGATAGTTTTCTCTCATCAGTATGTTGGTGCTACTGAAACGTTTCTGGTGTTTTAACTAATGAAATTTTACCAATTCTGCAGACTCTGGTTGAGAGGGGATATGAACTTGTTTCTGGTGGTACCGAGAACCATTTAGTATTGGTAAATTTGAAGAACAAGGTATCAGACAATTTTCATCCTTTTACTGTTGAAGTACAGGGAAGCTTTTGTAATTAAGAAATCTGCTTCAAAAGTTGTTCAAACCATTTCATGGTTTATTGCAACCTTAACATGAAACTAGTAATTCGACTGTTGATTTATTATCCATAATACATAGGGGATATCATAAGAATTTCTGATGATGAAAATTTAATTTTATGTTTTAACAAGGTTTTCTTTCAATAGGGTATTGATGGCTCAAGAGTTGAAAAGGTGTTGGAAGCTGTTCACATTGCAGCCAACAAAAACACTGTTCCAGGGGATGTGTCTGCCATGGTTCCTGGTGGCATCAGGATGGGTACTGGCTCTTCATTGATGACGTTGTATTTGTGTGATCATTTTGTTCGTAACTTTTCTTGATGAATCCAATTGCACTGCAGGAACGCCCGCTCTTACTTCTAGGGGATTTGTTGAGGAGGATTTCGCTAAGGTGGCAGAATACTTTGATTCTGCTGTGAAAGTGGCAGTGAAGATCAAGTCTGAAACCAAAGGTTCCTAATTATATCTAATATCTTTGTGCTTCATTATCCAAAGGCTTTTTTTGTGTTTCATCATCACTGATGTTCATGCTTGCTGTTTAGTTTGTGTGATACTCTAATCTTGGTTGGCTGTGATTCGCCATTTGGCCAAATATGCTAAAATGTGATTGCATGCTGTTGGTTTTCTGAACCAGGAACAAAGTTGAAAGACTTCGTGACCACGATGCAGTCTTCTGCCAACTGTCAGTCTGAGATTGCAAAACTCCGCCATGATGTTGAGGAGTATGCAAAACAATTCCCAACAATTGGATTTGAGAAAGAAAACATGAAGTACAAGAACTGAGAGAAAAAAAAACCCTGTTGTAAGGTATGTAATTACCTCAGTATCATTAGATTCGCTGATGAGGCTAATCTATGAGTATTAGAGTCCATTGTGGTTTCATTCCTTATGAATTAAAGAGAGTTACAGTAGTCGATATCCATATATTTAAAAAAAAAAAAAAAAAATTGTCATATACTCGGGCAACATATATCACAATAGAACAGAAATACATTTATTATGTTGTGAATTGATCTATATAACTGCATTTACATTTGTAATCTTAAATTCAGCTACTTATAAGTTGTTGTTTTATTTGTGACAAATATTCATCTGCCTCAGCGCAGACTAGCTGGAACCATTATGATATGAGCTTTCCTAGCAGACGAAGGCGAAGGGGGATAAAGTTAACTAGTTAGTTGTGGACCAATTTATCAAGGATGTGAATTTGACGCTTTTATGAGTTCAAATCCAGCAAAACTTGACTGAGATCTTAGTTAATGTATGTAAATACTTGTGTTTACTGAGCAATAAAACTTGCAATAAAAATTAGATGCGGTATATTCTTTCTCCCTAATGGCTTGACAAGCACAGTAGATACCATGGACAGTGGCTGACCCGCCTGTCTCTTTGCGTCGATTCGTGCTTGTGATTGTGTCGGCATAATTAGGATTTTCTAAAATATATCAGATCTTTTAAGCATATTTCATTGCTTAAACAAGCTATATATAAATTGGTGGTGTTGTTTGTTGGTGGGTTTTGATCCTGAATCCCCTAGCTTTATATGGAATTCCATAATGGATATGTTATTCCATAATGGAATTACATGTGTTCCAAAATGAATTATCATAAGTGGGATGTCAACATGGTATCTTTATTAGTATATTTTGACTTTTATATACATTTTTCAGTAAGTTTATGACAAAAATATTCTTTATCATATTCGGAAAGAAAATTCAAATCCTTCAAATCGGAGGAGACTGAGAGACTGGAAGAAAGGGAATAGGAGATCAAAAAAAATTTCATTTCAGGTCAAGCAGAACGTGATGAATCTTTTTTTTTTTTTTTTTTTAATGATCAGAGGTGTCTTTGTTAGTTTACGCGCACCTCAATAAATCTCTCAGAATTTTGAAACTATCAATCGAATAAGAACTCTAATTACTATCCTTATAACAACGAACCTAATAAACTTCCACACCTTCGTTAATTATTGAGAATTTAGAAGTAAATATTTTTCTATATTTGAATAAAAATGTATTTATGGCATGGTATTGGTATGTTTATAAAGAACAAGATGTATTTTTAAAGGAAAAATTATGAAATTGTTGTATGAGTATAGTGTAAGAATCTTAAAATTGAATTTTTTTTTTTTTATATAAATAATTAATTTCACTATTAATCCATGAACAATATCAACACATCACAGGATTAAAATAATTTATCTTCATATATTATAAATAGGGATATTAGATGTCTAAGTTTTTAACCCAATTCTTAAATTCTAATCATTTAAATATTTAAATAACACTTATCTGTCAAAGATAGAGATAATAACTTTCATCCCAATTTTTATTTTCTAATGTTGGAAATTAAATCAAGCACTAATCATTTAAATATTTAAATAACACTTATCTACCATGGATAGAAATAATAATTTCCATCCCAATTTTTCTATTCTAATATTGGAAATTAAATCAAACATTAATAATCTATTATATTATTAGTAACATTCTCATGTTTACCAAGATTACAATTGACCAACATTGCTGACGAAGGGTAAAAGAGCCAGTGAAAAACACTTCCAAGGGCAAATATGTGATTTCATTTATCGTGTTCGTCACAGGGAGGAAGGTAAGTGACAATTTTGGAAAACTGGAGGGGATTTTAAAATTTTGGAAAACTGGAGGGGATTTTAAAATTTTGGAAAATTATGGGAGGTCCTTAAATAAAATCATTATTATGGCTAAACCCAAAATACAAAACCCCTCACATTTTCCCATAACTCTTTCTCAGGATATTTCCATTTCCATGAACAAAAAACAATAAAAACAACATGAGGAAGACTAGAATCGTAATTCTACACTCACCAAACAAACCTCCACTATCCACTCTCCTTGTACTCACCATGTTAATGGCTTCACGTTTCTCTCTTTCTCGTTCACTTCACCCGTTACTTAAACACTCTCCAACGAAAACCAAAACTCCTTTTTACCATTTAACCCCTAAACATTTATATAAATCTCATTCTTGTCCTCTCTGGTCTTCGTCTTTCTCTTTCTGTCTCCAGTCTCTTCAATATCGTAATCACAAGTCCAGAACCACCTCTCTCTCTTTCTCTACCTGCTCTTCGCTCTCTCCTCCAATGGCTGACGTGTCTGTTGAAGCCAATCCTTTGTTGCAAGACTTCGAGTTTCCTCCTTTTGATGCCGTTAAAGCCGAACATGTTAGGCCTGGGATTCGTGCTCTTTTGAAGCAGCTGGTATGGCCTTTTGATCTTTTGTCGTGTTTTGGTTTCTGGGTTCGTTCTGTTTTAATTGATTTGGTAGGAAAATTTGAACCTTTTTTGTGTATTGATTCTTGGGTATTTAGTGTTTTATTGGGTTGTTAGAATTTTAACCGTGTTTGAGTTATCTTCTATGATTGTTTGATCTTTTAGGTGCGATATCGTTGGTTGTGTTGTTGTTTTATTTGTTTGTTTATGTTGGTAGAAGGAACAATTTTGGTGTTGTGATCATTGATTTTGCTTTGGCTTTATGGGTATGTGATTGTAGGAAAGTGATTTGGAGGAACTGGAGAAAACAGTGGAGCCCTCGTGGCCAAAGTTGGTGGAGCCATTGGAGAAGATTGTTGATCGGTTGACTGTGGTTTGGGGAATGATCAATCATCTTAAGTCTGTTAAGGACACTTCTGAACTCCGTTCTGCCATTGAAGAAGTCCAGGTTTGCGATTTATAACGCTATTTTGCATAAAAACATGCATACATACAAAAGACACTGTCGTAAGAAATAATATTATCTCTCATTATTAGCACTAGGTGACTAGCGGAAATGGAATTTGACTCAGTTGACTCTATATTTGTGGTATTGAGAAGAACATATTTATGATGGTCTTGAGTTCATTTCACTGGCATATAGGCGATGCTATTTGGACAACATTGTTTTTTATCACTTTTGGTTATTACATTATATGGCTTCGGTTTGCAGCCAGAAAAAGTGAAGTTTCAGCTGAGGTTGGGACAAAGTAAACCCATCTATACGGCATTCAAGGCCATTCAAGAATCTCCAGAGTGGCATTCATTGAGTGAAGCCCGAAAACGTATAGTGGAATGTGAGTATATTAATTCTTTATTGTGTCTATTGAGAGTAACTGGTCTGCTTTTGTCAAATGTGGAGGCTTAAACTTGGTGTAGTTGTTCATAAGCTTTTAGTCTTATCATCTCCTTAATTTTTTTTATTCTGTTGTGCAATGTCCTGGGCTTGGAAAATTTACAGGGTTTTTGTGCTTTGAGATGCAAAGCATCTAGTATGATTTGTGTATTGATATGCAGAGGCTTTTCTTGTTCTTTTTATCAGTGTTTTGGATGCTATGGACTTTTTTTTTTTTTTTTGTCGCCTCATAACTTTGGGTCTCATTGTGGATCTCTGGCCAACTTGTAGTATTTTTAACATCTTGTATTAACATGCATTATTAGTTTCCTATTAGCATCTAGTCTGATTTGTGTTCTATATTTGTCCCTGTTGCAGCTCAAATAAAGGAAGCGGTTCTCAATGGTGTTTCTCTTGAAGATGATAAAAGAGATCAGTTTAATAAAATTGAACAGGTTTATTTTAATAGTAATAATTCAAGTTTAAGCAAGAATCAGCTGGGAAAAAAAGATTGGTTTGATGAGGCAACATGTAGATTTTATTTTTAAAATTAATTATCATGTCAAGCACTTGGGTTTTATTTATTAGTTTAAATATTGATGCATTTGTGATTTGCATAAGCGCGTAGGCTGCAAGGAATTTGTTTGTAACATGAAGATGGACACAGTCATAACACTAACATGGAATCATTTCTTTGATCTCTGCTGTCTTGTGCAATTAACTTACTGTCCTATTACAATGATTTACTCAAAAGTAAATTTTATCAAAGAAGTTTGGGACCATGTGCTACTTCTGGCAATGATCTCAGCATTTTTTTTCTTCATATTAGTAAATGCCTGAGTATATGCATGTTGTATAGTCAGTAAAAAATCCTACTTCAGTTATATTTTTCACTTTTCTGTTATCTGTTTTCTCTCTTGCGAAGGGAGCTGTATAACATAATATTCCTTAGATGGTAGAATATTTATCGATGTTGTTTGTGTTTATCAGAAGCTGGCTTTCAGTAATCAGCATGTAAATTCTTGACTTGTTAGTTAGCGGTTTAGTTAACATTAACATTGAGTAAAAACCATTGATTTTGTGGAAATATTGCATATTGGCTGTTTTTTCAGTTTTATGGTTAGATAAAAATAGAAGAATATTTGAAGTGGATATTGAGGATGGGATGATATTATTCATAGAGATTGAAATGCTGCATGGTTTACTTATATGCTATTTTGTGGTGGACTGCTTTGACTTAATGTGCAGGAGCTTGAAAAACTATCTGAAAAGTTTTCGGAGAATGTGTTGGATGCCACAAAGAAGTTTGAAAAATTGATAACAAATAAGAAAGAAATTGAAGGATTGCCTGCTACTGCTCTTGGATTGGCTGCTCAAACAGCAGTGTCCAAGGTATTTTATGTCAAAATTGTTCAGTCATCAAGTCTAGTACAGCAGGTTGTTTTTCATTTCTCATATTGCTTGTTCCATTTATATATTTAATATCAGGGGCACGAAAATGCAACTGCTGAGAATGGGCCATGGGTAATTACATTGGATGCTCCAAGTTTTATGTCTGTCATGCAACATGCTCGAAACCGTGCTTTGCGTGAGGAAATCTATCGAGCTTATATAACTCGTGCCTCAAGTGGTGATTTGGATAATACACCACTCATTGACCAGATATTGAAGTTGAGGTTGGAAAAAGCTAAGCTTCTTGGCTACAATAATTATGCCGAGGTATGTATCTTTTGTGTCTTAAAATATACTTCCTTTCCCTTGGCTAACCGTGGTGTATATGATCAGGTAAGCATGGCAACCAAAATGGCTACTGTAGATAAAGCAATACAGCTATTAGAAAAGCTTCGTACTGCATCCTGGGATCCTGCTGTTCAAGGTATCTTCTGAGATATGATTTTGTAATATATGCAAAGGTTTGATCGTATAAATATTTGGTAATATATATCACCAAAATCAGGGCTGATCTATGTGCTAGAAACCCCTGTAAACATTTGTGAAGAATTTTTTCTTTTCTCAAATATGTATTATGTAAATTAGGCCCTCAAATATTATTATATGCAAATTAGCCGCTCAAATGTGACCTCTTCATTTTGATTAACACATTTTGGACCTTAAATATGGTAGTGTTTTATTGACTCTTGTAAGTAAAGCTGTTTGGTTTATTTTCTGTTTAACATTTGTATATATTTTCATATTAGTTATGTCAC